TAATTCTTTTTATTTTATTTCTCCGAAATTTTATTTTTTATCTTCTTTATTCACAGTTTTAATTAGCTTTCATTAGTGGTTAGCGTTAATTGATTTAATAAAAACAGAATTTCAGAGCTCAATAATCGCAAAAGGAAACATAGAGACACACACGTGACCTAAAATTTTCACATTGCGTAGACTTATGTTGTCCTTTCAGGACAAATAAAAAAAATCACATCTCGCGTCCTCTTCCCAAAAATAGCAAGTTACATATATTTTATTTTATTTTTAAAATAAAAATATATTTAAAAACAAGACGCGGATCGTTTTTAGTTACGCGGACAAAGTAAATCATTTGAATGCAAGTAACTTTCAATTTTTAAAAAATATATCTGTATTCATTTATAAAAGTGAACATTTTTGAACATATTTATAAATCATAAAAATTATTTCACAATATATATAACATCTACTTCAAAAAACGTATGGTATAAATCTTTTTCGTTGACGAAAGTAATTATCCCATTCCTTCCCAAAATGATTTTTCATCAACTTTTCTTCATGAATGAGTCGTTTGTAAACCAAAACGTTTAAACCAATTACTTCAAAAGCTTTAAACCACCAACTTGATAAAAAGTTAAACATCTTGAACGGGGAGTATAAAGGAATATAACGAGTTAATTGAAAATGCAAGTGAAATAAAAAGACCCACTGCAAGATGACACCAGTATACTGTTTGAAATTAAGCGATTAGCATTATATTATTGAGAACAAAAGATTTCATATAAAAGAACAAAAATACTTACCGAAGGATGAACCAATGAAGAATACGGTCCTGTAGTGATTAATTTATGTTCTTTTTTTATTGTGACGTCAGGATTGAAATATTCCTTTAAAGTATTATAGCTCTGTAATATTAGGAAGCTTCCAACAATATTACAGATATGACTGAAAATTTCCAAACGGTTCCATTCAGAAAATTTATGATAATCATCAGGTAAGAGAGGGATCAAACCAGCTTCTTGTTGATACATAACGTATAGATAAAGCAACGTTTGAATTACGATCACAATATTTTTAATATTGTCAAAAACAAAAATTTCTTTTAAACTTTTTCTCGACAAAATTTTTTGAATGGGATTGGATCTTGGAAGTGTTATGTTAAGTAAAGTTTGAAAGATGATCATAAAGATTTTGCCATACATTTTTGAAAAAAGATTTTGTGGGAATTCTAATGATACAGGGCTAAACGACGGAGAAAAATTCAAATTTATATCCCTTTTCAACCTTTTCGACCAAAATCATGCGCGTGTTAAAATGATGAAATATTTATGACGATCATCATAATTGACTGAAATTATCGAATTGTTATTTACTCTCGAAATTTTTTTTTCATTATCATTATATTTTAAAGAAACGTTGAAGGATATTTTTTTTTCTCATAAATCTGGTTTACTCCTTTTTTGTTAAAGTGTAAAAGCGCCGTGCTACGTATTTTGTTGTTTACGGATTTAATCTAGTGGACGCCGTTCCTTATCTAATAAAATAGCATTATTCTGACATATACATATATATGATATAAATTGGACATCACAATTTTTGGAGAACTTTTTATTGCTTGTAATAAACAATCATGTGATAAAATTAAGAAATGATTGAAATTTGTACAATTTACAAATATCTGTATTATATCACGATTTCATAAGCACCCTAATAAAGATATAATCTGATTAAAGATTAAAAAGATCAAGAAAAAAAATATTCTCTATAACCCAGAAACTCGTCAAAAACGCTTTAACACACCCTCCTCCTCGTATTTTTCAAATACATCAATTACATCGCAATGAATTCAACCAAAATATCAAATATTAACGATATATGGGAACTTTTGAAATTGTTTGAAAGCCTTTTCTCACGACAATCATTCGAAGTCGCAGACATTTTCTTTAATAAATTTTTAAATTCCGTAGCAAGTTCAGAATTAACCTCTAAGGATAATGATTTGATGTTCGGGCAATTCTCGTAAACCGCACGTAATGTACTCTCCAGAAAGTTCAAGATGAAAAGGTTAAAAAAAGTAAAATCTCTGAGATTTCTTTCGCCAACTTTTAATGAAATTTGATGTATTATAAGAATTCTTAGTCACCAGATTATTTAAAATTGTAAATTATTTAAAAGATGAAAGGATATTTAAAGGTAAGAAAAAATTCCAGGAATTTATTCGTAGTTCAAAACTTTTAATTACATGAAAAACAAATTCGATTCATCAAACACGAACCATTGTTTAATCTATCTAAACCCGAATTATGATAATTTCCAGTCCAATGACACCCGAGGTAAATCTTTTCTAATGTCTTACAGGTATGTGCTAATACATCAAAAAATTCTGGTTCTAATCACAATATAAAGACGTAAGTCCTCTAAGAGAAAACGTTGTATGAAAAAATCGATGTTGTGCACGATCCAAATTCGTAATGTTTAAAGATTTAACAGCGGAACATTTACTAGCAATCATTTTATTAATTTCTTGTTTTGTCCATGTCCTTCATTGTATCTGGAAGAAATAAGTCCAATTCTGTTCATGCTGGCTTAGAAATAAATCGATTCCTTGATTCTTGAGAAGAAATTGTGATTCTCTTGGTAAAATGAAATAATGACCAAATAGTAACTTATAATCTTTAATGAATTCCCATGGATTACTCCAAAGGAACGGTACAGCAGTTTCGCATCAAAGTTATTTACAGATAAACATGAATGTAGCGGTTTCCACCTCAAATTTTGACTTTGCAAGATGATAGTTTTTCGAGGAACGTCAATTAGAAATCGGAACATATGAAATGTAAACAGTTGCACAATGACCACAATGAATTTTAAACAATTTGTGTTACGTTAAATTAAGATCATCATTTTTTTTTAAATTACAGATGTTACACGTAACGTATGATGTATGTATTATAGAAATTACTTTCCCTTTTCTTTCTATCTTTACATGCAAAGTTTTTGGAATTCAAAGTTCATTAAAATTTTTCTATTATTATTTTATGCTTCACCAATACCCTTTCATACTTACTAATTGGTTGAGCTTTATTTTAGATTCACCGATATACTTTCCTTTAGAAATGAAGAAGTCACATTATTAGAGTGAAATCTATTAGACCGATTCGAGAAATTAAATTTAAACTTTAGTGTGGATTATTACAAGTATGCGAATCAACTTTATTTTACCATGTAATGGATCAATGTGCGATGAAAACGCAGACAGGGTTGAGAAGAATAACGATTGCTCATGAATTTTCCTTTCTCCTCTGACATACAAACTAGGCTTTTTTACTTCTCGTGCGCGTTATTTTTACGTTGTTCTTTCCTCAAGCCCGTCTTCTTTAAGGTGTCACTTGTTGCTTTTGTTCCCTTTTCATGGCATTACTCTCACCCTATTTTGGTGTTTAGTTGTCAAGTAATAGAGATGGTAATTGGTAATCCAGATTTTTTTTTTTTTTTTATGAAATTTTATTGATCGTCGTATTTTATTTCACTAAATGAATTTCTTCCATCTAAATTATGCCTTGATCCTTAACTATATTGATAGTTTATTTATTTTTTTATTTTTTTGTAATTCGCTTTCTGCATACAAATTGCTTTGATTCTTGAAATGAACAGTACAACAAAAATTTTCTTTCTTTACACAGTATCAACGACATCAAAGACTACAGCAGTTACAAAATTATGATATAGTCCAAAACTACTTGCATGGTCCAAAATTTAGAATTTTTCTAATTGAAAATATTCTTTATCGCTTTATACACAAATTAATATAGATTATCAATTGTTATTTGTCACGCTGTCTGATGTCTCACTGTAAAGCACGTGATAAATTGCGTAAGGTTGAACAACAGAGTTTATTTAGTTTATTTAGTAATTCACCTTTCAAATGAGAAATATTCCCCCGCTTTTTGTTTCATAAAACAAAAAATGGCTTCATTTTTAATTACAGAATGTTTAGAGAAGATTTTTTTAAATTTTCTTGATATCCCAGCTGGAGATACAAGTACCAATTCGTCAACAATAAACACAAGCACCAATACGTCAACTGGAGACTTGTATGCCTGCACATTAGTATCTAGGTATTGGTGCAAAGTGTCAACACCATTATTGTATTCTTATCCATTTCATCATTTTCGCAATTTGACCTATCGAGATGATGATGTGAAATCGAAGATTCTAGATCACTATTTTAAACTAATTCATACATTATTAAAATGTATTCCTCATGATATTGAACAAACCTTAAATGAACCGTATTTAGCCATGCATTTTCATTTATCGACCTTTAATTATATTTCTTTCATCCGTGGGTTGATTTTTCATGATGTGATATTTCACTGTCACCGCCAGGATTGGTTTACTTATCTTGGTCTAGAGACTACGTCAGTAGATTTTTTCTCGCTTATGGTACTTTTTACAAAATTTTTATGCAAACATTGCAATAATTTGACGATACTGGAGTTCCCATTCAAGATAGAAGTTTCATTATTCGATGATATGATCGAATTATTATCTCCGAAATTGGACAATTTAAAAGAATTATATTATCATGGTAAATCTTGTCATGGTTTGCCTTTAAAAAGTTGTTATAGTAATATTCCAATGCACTTTTATTCAAAACTTGACAATATTCGTAGTATAAACTTACTTTGCAGCGACATCGTTGAAGCAATTTCATTATCAAAATTCATTCCTTTGCAAAATAGGTTGCAACACTTCATCTTGTCAGATTATCATTCGGCTGCGAATTCTAACAATGGTAAATACAATATCGTAATCAATTCATTATCTGCTCAAAAGGATAGTTTACAAGTATTAGAGTTAAGAAATGTATCCTTCAAAAATGTAGATGGTAAAGCCATCGACTTACTGGGACTACTCAAAAATATTAGAAAGCTGAAGCTATTTTGGTGTCGTCAATTTAATATTAAATTGAATTCTTGGACAAGGAATTTACCAAAGATTGAAGAATTTGAATTTATTGGATTCTATATTGAGGATATGTCAATTAGCTTTATAATTAAATTAATTCAATCCGCTTCACTTACGTTGACTCGATTAGTTATAGATTATGACAGGGTGGATGCCTTTGATTACAATGTTACTCAAATATACGACCAAATTCCACTTTACTTGCACTCATTAACTCATTTAACTCTTACTCAAATCCGTCAAACAGAGTTGGTCCCTATATTTACTTCATGTATTAAACTAGTTTACCTTAGTATTATCCCTATTGGAAAAATTGAAGGTTACCTTGAGAATGTAATTCCAAAAAGGTTACAAATTATACAGTTTAGAAAGGTTGATTTTATAAATATTGATACTTTGGGGCCTTCCTTGAAGAAGTGTGTAAATGATGGCGGTAAATTGAAGTATTTGGAAATTAAAGGAAGATGCAACGTGAGTCAAGAGTGTTTTGATCTAGTTGGAAAACTTGGTGTGAAATTAATAATTTATAGGGCATAATTAGAATCACGTATCTATTTTGTTATTTCTTATACCATTTCAGGGTGAATGAAATTAGCAAGAACTTGTTTTTTGCAAATCCTTTTTGAGAAGATTAATTTTGAAGAAAAGATTAAACGTTGCATCTATTTTTTTTTTGTTGCAAAAATCTTTTCCTCAATTATCTTTCAAACTAAAATTATTTTTTTAAATTAATTTACCGGCTTGATTGTTATAATGAGTAAACTATGCATCCAAAATAAATAGTATATATATATCTCTCTCTTGAATTTTTGATTGTTGGACTTTTTATTGCATATTTAACTAATTGCATTATGTATACCTGCGGATGTTTTGTTATAAATTTTTTGTAATTTTTAAGTATAGTGGAAAATTAAACTAATTAGCTAATATTTTATCTTTTTATTATTATAAATTATTAATAATTTCATTTAGTTGAATATATATTAAAATAAAAGATTGTATATAAAAACTTCTTTAATTCTAGTAAGTTTAATTTTATTAATAAGACATTTTTATATTCTGAAGAAATATATCAGACGAAATTATAATAAAAATAATTGAAAAATTAATATTTTTTTTTTAATTAGTATTAGATTTAATTAAATTATAAATATTAGTTTTATAATTTAATATTTTAAATAAGAATTTAAATCTGATTTTACAAACAGTATTAATTCTTTGAAAAATAATTGTTAATTATTTAAAAATAACCTAATTAATAATATAAAAGTTATAAATTTAAAATAATACAAATATTATAAGTATTAATTTATCTATAAAATAATTTATTTTTATAAATAAAAAGATTTATAAAAAAAGAAAAACAGTTTATTTAAATTAAATATTAAGCTAAACTTAATCAATAATTAAAGATTAACTTAAATATGATTTTTAATTTTGAGATTGAAATTTTATTAAATTTAAAAATTTTATTATAAGTTTCTATATATATAATATAACATTTATTAAAAATTTTATTTTAACATTATTAATTAATTTTTTATATAATATATAATATTAATAAATAATTCAATTTTTTAATTTACTTATTAAATCATTTATATAAGTAATTTACTATTAATAATAATTTGTTATATTTTAACTTATTTTTAATAACAAATATTTTATATAAAGAAAATTAGAATCTAATATTATTTTAAAACTTAAAATTAATAAAATTTAAAATTGTATTAAATAAAAATTTAATATATAATATTAAATTTTATAAAATTAATCTACTAATTAAATTTCAAATATTATAAAAGGGAAAATTTAAATGGTACATCCATGCATTTAATGTGCCTTCAAATATGTGATTATAATAAAATATTTTATTACTTCATATCATATTTATTGTTATGGTCAGTTCTTTAAGATGCTTATGAGTGATAAGCAAAGCAATATTTATAGGTAGTAAGTAGAAGGTTTAATTTGATATTTAGATTTAGAAGAATGTCAGTAAATTAACAGTTTATTTAATAACTATAACAATGGAGTACTGCCTCAGTCAGCGCTCTGTACTATACAATT